TAACAGTCTTACCAAGTCAGATTCATAATCACAATGGAGGGTCTTGAATGTGTTGCAGTTCACACTAGGTGTCAAATGTGTACAGAAACTGGAATTTCCTGCTCAATAGTCACTCATCTCTTCATTTTTAAAGAATACGTTTTTCCCTTATTTGATGAAATATCAAAAAAGTCTGCTGTCTTTTCTTGCGTACAACCTGAGTTACTCAGCCATCAGCAGTTGGAATGAATTTGTGCAATAACATGGTAATGACATCATACAACAAAATGTACTTTATCTCCAAACTTTCAAATTAGAAGAGCAAGTAAAACAAGCACCATGATCTTCCGTGTTAAACATCCTCATGTCATGGCCTCATTACGATTAAAATGAAAGAAATAATCTATTAATATTATAAGGGAAATAGTACTGACATTTAGGAGAGGTGATGCCCTGGTGGTATTATCACTGGACTATTAATCCAGAGGAACCTGAGTTTGAATCCTGTGATAGCAAATGGTGGCACTGGAATTCAATAAATATCTGACTATGAAACCATTGTTAGCTGTCAGGAAAAGCCCATCTGGATCACTACTGCTCTTCAGGGAAGGCATCTGCCATCATTACATGGTCTGGCCTAATGTGATTCTAAACTCATAGTAATGTGGTTGACACTTTAATTGCCCTCTGGTCAATTAGGGATAGGTATTAAATGCTGCCCCAGCCAGTGATGGCCACATTCTGTGGATGAATTTTTAAAAAAATATTCATTTTTGATACTTGGAGATTGGGAAGGAATTCTTGTAGACTTCTTCCTTTGAGTATTAATACAAACTATCCATTTACTCTTCGCTTTCTAAAACTGCTTGATCTTGTCTTCCTGCTTCAACATCATTATCAGGCTGGCTCATATTATTTTGAAGTCTTTGTAGCTAATCCTATTATGGACAAGTTCACTGCATGATACTGAATTAGATAATAGATTCACATTTTAAGTGTGTGCATGCGTTACATCTTTTCATTTGATTTTTAAAAATTTAATATCAATTTTCTTTCCCTTCACTAACTTGAGTCAGAAGACATTTTGATTGAAAATTGGATGAATCATAGAACATCTTTTGTATTTCTGTATTAATTTTTTTTTCCATTACTGCACAATATGAATTACAGGCATAGTGGACAGTTTGGCACCATCAATAACTTCAGACTAGGACGTCTACCTAGTGTTCCTGTGGAATGGAATGAGATTAATGCAGCTTGGGGGCAGACTGTGCTGCTACTGCACTCACTGGCTAACAAGATGGAACTCCGATTTCAAAGGTGCATTTTAAAGCTGCGTATAGTCTGTGCCTATGATGAGTTTTGAAGTGAGACCTATCTTGCTTGGAATCATAAATGCCGGCTGAAAGCTAATGGTCTTCAGACTCTGAATGAAACTGATCCAATTCCTAATAATACATTTCAAATATTAGAAAATAAAACAGACTAACAAGAAAAAACTGAATCTAGACCTAAGCAGTCTTTAAAGTAGGAAATAAGAAATTATATCGCCAGTCCCATTTGTGTGATTATTTTTGCTTAAGCATTGCCTGATGTACTTACATAACTGAGAATCTATTTCTAAACATTGTTTTCTGCTAATGAATTACTTAGCATTTACATAATATTTGTTGGCAATTTTGCCATTTCATTATCTTTAGATCAGCTTTTTCTCTGTCCTTGAGATAACTCTTGGCTCAGATTATTAACATATGGAAAGTGGATTTCCTGGTCTTTGGGATTTGTGCCAGTATGGCAGAAGGTCAGAGACGTACGCAGAAAAATATGGCCTAATAACACAAATGCTACAAAGCTATTTTACTTGAAGCCTGTGCAGGGGTTACAAAATAATGGATAGAAGAATAAGTAAATGTATAAGGTTGGAGAAGCAAAGACTGATATTACAGAAGTGAAAATAGGAGGTAGGAGATCATTATGAAATGGCGTTGGAAGCTCAAGGTCAAATAGGGTTCTGACCAGTTTGGTTTGATCTGGTCTGACACAGTTACCAAGAAGGATTGATCAAATGGGTTCCTATTGAACTGTTTGTGGTGGAGCAGAAAAAAACTTTGTTCTTTCCAATGAGAGAATTTCAGCACATTCAGGACTAGAGGTCAGACCAGGAGTTTGATAACAGATGTAGTAGGGGGAGGGGAACCAGTGATGTCGAGTGAAGTACAGCTGGATACCATGCATATGTGCAGAATTTCTGATGTGGTTTTAGTTTACAAAGTGTAGGTGAGAAACAGGAGAATACAGAGAATAATTTCTTGAAATCCAAAGTTAACAATGTTGGCCGTGGGAGAACAATTGAAGGAGCTTCTCCAGTAATTGCTAGACAGGTAAGAGTGAAACCAGAAGTCTAGGTCCATTCAACTGAACTATGGAGAGATGACTTTGGTCTAACACATTTTGATCAGTGTGGGAAAATGAACTTGCACTTCAAGCCATGCCTTGTTTTGTTTATATGCAACTGAAAGGGTTGTGAGTGACCTTTCTGATGTAGAAGAAACAAACACTGTCATGACTTTTTTTCTCATCAATTAGTTCCAGTTCATTGCAACGATCAGTCCAATGCAAAGAATATTTAAGAATTCAAAATACTGTAAATTGTTGAGTAAACACGCAACTTTAAGCAAAATATTTCTCCATTTTATAGGTATCGTCTTGTCCCGTATGGGAATCATTCATACTTGGAATCACTTACAGACAGAGCAAAGGTCTGTGCTGCAGTTGTAAACAGAGATATGTCTTTGAGAATGTTCTGTTCTACTTATGTTCCATTAAATTTTAAATTGCAGTTTCTTTTTAAATGGCAAAACTGGCATTTCTCAAAATGGCTTTCGGAAAGCATGGAATTTGGTGCACACAACAGGGAACGAACAAACAGAATTAAGGATTGGGTTATATTTCTGACTTTTTTCAGAGACTTTGCTTAAGATACTATCTGGACTGCTGAGGTGAAAGCCTATGGTACATAAACTGGGGATAATCTCAATCTATTTCACCCAAACTGAACTCCGCAGTGCCAATTATTTGACATGAAGCCACAGTGACATTTGGTATCGAAAGTTCAAATAAAGATATTTAGTTGAAGGAAATAATGTTTCTCCTATGCTGCAGATGACTCAAGTGCTTTAAGCTGACATTAAATGTGGGAAATAGTCTTCCACTCCTTCCACATGTTTAGATGTGTATGCGTATGTATTAAAAAAGGACAAAATTATTTCACTAGGTAAAAGTGTAAAAGAAAAAGTAATTTTATTACTTTACTTTAGTTCTTTTGAATACACATTTGCATCTGTTCATTTGTTTTATTAAATATTAGTTCTACAAGAATTATTTGATGCGAGTTCTCCTTTGGCTTTTAGGTTACTGATGAAGTTAATTTTAAAAACAATTATAGGACACTGTCATTGTAATGTAGCACAATGGCCCATGTATGGTGGAATGCAAGTTTGATGTATTTTTTCATTCTCGACTACTTAGTTTTAGTAGCGTCATTGTGGGGGAAGCAGAGTAATCCTAGGCTACCCTTACATCACCTATCAATCTATTCAAACCAGAATTATCCAAATTTTTTTTTAAACTCGCAGTTGTAGGGAATGGAAGAAAAAATGGACTTTACATACAATATTTTAAAATGCCTAATTTATTTAATCTTCTAACTTACTCTTATAGGAGCTGCCATTGTACTGTTCTGGAGGATTACGATTTTTCTGGGACAACAAGTTTGATCATGCTATGGTGGCTTTTTTGGATTGCGTTCAACAATTTAAAGAGGAGGTAGAAAGAGGTGACACTGGCTTCTGTTTGCCATACAGGTAAATTATTAGTTAAGTATTTCACCAAGTCTTAGTTAATATAGGAACAGTCAAATATTTCTGTTCCAAGGATGAGATTACTTAATTGCATTCATAAACTGAGTTTACATATTTAATAGAAGTTTTTATAAATTATATTTAATATGTTATCTATTCCACATTTGGGAGGAAACATTTAAGAACAGATGACAAATACAAGTTCTTTGACTTATCAGATGTTCAGTAATTGTGTTTGGAAGGGACTGATTCTAAACTTTGCTTCACCCTGTGTATTATTTAATTATCAACCCTCAAAACACCAGTAACACTAATGACAATGATCCAAGGAACCCGCATTCTATTTTTATTGTATATGAAAGGGAAAAAACACTCAATTTACTGGTTTGCTGTATTATATGCCTGTCAACTCTGGACACATTTTAACAAATTACATGCCATCTCAAGGGTCATCAATGTTTGACTGTGGTATACAGTATGAAGCTCCTTCCTATTGATCTGATTTATTAATGCTGTAAAATTAGGATAACTTCTTTGTAAATGTGGTGTGTGTGTATATATATATATGTATATCTGCTGCTCATGATGCAAAGAAAAAACTCTATGGATAGATTTTTGCTTTATCTTTACTTTGGAGGAGCTAATCTTTCATCATTTATATCCATTTGGAATTTTTCAAAGTCACAGCTTTGCAACTCCCCATTCTTTACCTTCAAATGTGACCATATGGCCTATTTCTTTGGGAATACCTTGTGGCATCTCCACTTAGGATCCTATCTCTTGTAACTGTAACATTCTTTCAAATGAGTACCTTAGGTAATTGAAGAGATGTGATCTATTTGATAATCATTTTATAGTTGGTATTGTTAATTACTACTTTGGGTGGCTAGTTTGCATTGTTTGATCTTCTTCAGCCACAAAGAGGAGTAACCTCTATTCAGAACTTGATACTTCTTTATCATTATTTTACGCTAGTTAATTCAGTAAATCGGACAAAGGAATAATAATCAAAAGAACCAAGTTGGCAAAAACGTAAAATAGTTTGAGAGTTCAGTGAAGAAAAGTGAAGGATTTGAGTACAAGAGTAAAGGTGTGTTGCTTCAGTTGTACGCAAGCTTGGTAAGATGGCACCTGGAGTAGCATGCGGTCTGGTCTCCTTACCTGGGCAAGAATATAATTTCTGTAGACGTGCAGCAGATGGTCATCAGTCTAATTCCTAGCATGGCAGGATCATCCTATGAGGAGAGACTTGAAATTGGTCTACATTCTCTAAGTTAAGAAGAATGAGTTATCATCTTTTGTAGAACAAAAGAAGACCACTTGGCCCACTGTGTCCGCATCAGCTGAAAAATGAATTAGAATTAGCTTTATTGTCACGTACTCACATGAGTACAATGAAAATTTTACAAGTTGCTACATACAGCACCATCTTAAATACAGATTTGTTGATATAAAATAGAAAAATTAAGAAATAAAAAGTCCAGAGAAATAAAATAGAAAGATGGAAGTTACACAATTTACAGACATCCCACCCCACCCCAATCCATGCAGGGGCCCTGCTTCGAGTTCAAACCTATTCCGTCTAGGTAAATTTGAAAAAAATGTTTTATTTAAGAAACAAGAAAAAAGAAGAATGGAGCGGATCAGCTCCCAAGACGGGAGCCCTACTCCTCCACCATCTTGGGATAAGCCAAACACCTTTTATTCCACTCTGCAGAACCTGGTTCATAATCTTGCAGGATATGGCACTTGAACTGCTTATGCAGAAACCTTTCAAATGAATATTTCTGCTTCTATCCTTTCAGGCAGAGTGTGTTCCAGACACCTGCCACCCTCTGGGTTTGAAAAACAGATTCCTCCTCTTCCTTTTAATCTTTCTACCAAATCACTGAAGCAGCCCCATGTCCAAATGCAGCAATAGCTGGATAATATCCAGGCCTTGGCTGAAAAGTGGCAAGTAACATTCATGCCACATAAACACCAAGTAATGACCATCTTAAGTGAAACAATGTAACCAGCCCCCTTGACATTCAATGGCTTTAACATCATTGACAATGGGGGAAATTCAATGTCCTGGGGGTTACCAGAAATTGAACTGGACTAACCATATAAATCCAGTGGCTACAAGTGCAGATCAGAGGCTAGGAATTCTGCAGTGAGTAACTTAGCTCCTGACTGCCCAAAGTCTGTCCACCATTTACAATGTACAGTCAGGACTGTGGTGGAATACTCCCAACTTGCCTGGATGTGTGATATTACAACATCATTCAAAAAGCTTGACACCATCCAGAACAAGGCAGCCACTTGACTGGGATTGCATCCACTCTACTACAGACACGTAGTAGCAGAAGTGTGTACTATGTACAAGGTGCACTGCAGAAAGCCTTCTTGAATAACACCTTCCAAACTTACAACCATTTCCATTCGGGGCTGGGGCAGCAGATATGCTAACACCACCGCCTGCAGGTTCCCCTTCAAGCCACTCATCATCCCAAGCTGGAAATATATTGTTGTTCCTTTCAGTGTTGTTGGGTCAAAAATTGTGAAATTCCCTCATTGTCATTGTGGGTCTACCTACATACATGGACTGTAGCAGTTCACCATCACCTTAAGTACAACTAGGGATATACAATAAATATTGGCCCTACCAATGGCACCTATATCCTGATGTGAATTTTTAAAAAATACTTAAATCTTTGCCCCGAGTCACTAACTTGCCTGCTAAGGTGATCTAAATGAAACTTATCAAAAGTCTTAAGTTACAGTCAAAATGTTTCCCGTTGGGGGTCTGGAGTAGCAACACAGTCTCCAAAGGACAGTCATTCTGACGGAGATGATGGGGAATTTCTTCACGGAAGGTAGTGACTCTAAAGATTTCAGAAATCCCAGAGGGCTGTGGAAACTGAGTATGTTCAAGACAGTTCGATAGATTTTAAGTTGTCAATGATATCAGGACGTAGGTTTTGTGTGGAGAAATAATGCTGAGGTAGACAGTCAGACATGATTTAGAATTGTGAAGCAAGCTGGATGGCTTACTCCTATGTTCTTGCTTACTCAACTTAAAACTGAATTTAATAACTGTGTGATACTTTTTTGCTACATAGAATGGATGTGGAAAAGGGAAAGATTGAAGACACGGGAGGAAGTGGAGGATCTTATTCTATAAAAACACAGTTCAACTCTGAGGAACAGTGGACAAAGGCACTCAAATTTATGCTTACCAATTTGAAATGGGGGCTGGCTTGGGTATCTTCTCAATTCTATAACAGGTGATTTAAACATTATTTCCTCATTGAATCCATATCGCTTTTGCTCAGCATTGTTCCAAGGTTTCAACCAATGTTTTTGCCTATCTGAAGTAATTCACTGTGTGTTTATGTATGCTTTTTCTTGAGAAATAAACCATTAAACCATTAAATCATCAAATGTGACAAAGTGGAGAAGTAGCTGGCACAGTGGGTTAGATGTTGAATGCTGGCCTTTCATCCACGGACCTAGTTCCAAATCTGATGGAATGAAGGTTAGCTTTTAAGGTCATGTGTGAAACGGATTGGGGTAGATCTAGTCCAATTCTGAATGAACACAAAGCTGCTTTTCGTGGCAATCTCAGAGCAAGGCCACAGTATGGCTGGTGAAAAATGGGGGGAAAGAATGTCACAGTAGTACAGTAACACAGTGCTGTTCTGATAGTTCTAGCATGTGGATCTGACTTGAGAGTACCTGATGATTGAGTGCCTGAAATGGAAAAAGACCTGTTCTGCAGCACTAATATCTCTTACCTTGATAACCACACATGGAAAAAAATATATAAAATAAGAAACAAAGTAACTTGTGTACCTTTTTTATTCATGGTTGAAATATATATTCCTGGATTTTGAGTGGAATATGCTAAATCGCGATGTACTGCACCAATGCAATTGACTGACGTGTTTAAACAAACTGGAAAAATGTTGCTTTTTTTAATGGATGTCATGCAACTGTAATACCTGATTTGTGGGAGACTTCAAATCTAACATTGTTCCCTGTGATGTAACAGTTCAACAATGTCAAATTTTGATAGGCAAGTGGTCAGAAAAAGATTTTTGCTGTTAGTCTACAGTTTATTCTTGCCTTGACCTGTGAATCACATTTGATCATGTTGAGGTGAGACTTCATAAATATGTACATTTTGGCATCCAGGCACAAGAGTAAAAGTAGTTGTTAACTTTTAATATTAGCTTTTATTTCAATACAATCCTTTTGAGTGCTCACCACCTAATCTGCAGCTGGGCTGGAATATGTTGCATAGTCAGTTGTGTGGTTACAAAACAACACGAAATTCAGAAACTGTGAACCACAAACAAGATGCAAGCAGTTTTTCATCTGAACCATGGGTTGAGTGCTTCTATCATACCAAAATACACTATTTTAATAGCTTGTGTGTGTGTGTGTGTGTATGTATGTGTATGAAGTTTTATTTATAACAATTAATTCTGGCATGTTGTGCTACTGTTTGTCCAAGATGAAATGGGAATAACTTTTTATACACTGGTGTCATGACTGACTGTAGAAAGGATGCTCTATTCAATAGAGGCATGATGACATTCACACCGAAGAATTAAATTTGTAACATAATCACTGCGTCATTTCCAGAATCTGACCGATAGTGGATATTGTACAATAACAGTATTATTAGGCCATATACTCATTTTCACAGAAGCATAGTGTATTATTTCTCAGTAAAACCTGTCCACTGATCCTGTTGTACACTTGGTCTAGCTTTGAAATGTATAAATTAGCTCCTTTTAATCTTGTATCACTAGAAAACAAGTGAAAGCCCTGGACCTAATTCACGAAGTTAAACACATAAATTAAACTTGAATGTCTGTCCAAAGTTGTAATATATTGTCTTTGACGTTTGCTTTAATTAAAACTTACCTAAACAGTTTGAATGTATTTCAGACATTTTTGTCTCTATCGTAAACCTTGTGGAATCTGTTAGGAGTCTGCTTTTTGTTATGTCATCTATTCACATGAAAAGAGTGGAAATTTGTTGATTTGGTCACTGTTTATTAAGAAGCCTGCTGTGATTAAAGACAGAAGAAGTGTCTGATGTTTGACAGGATTTGGGATTAGCCACTTCTCAAAGTCTTGGCTGTATCACATCTTGCAAGGAGGGACACTAACATAACAAATGCTCAGTGCACCTCTGTACATATTTATTATGGAGATTGTGTTCCATAAAATAACAGAATGTAAGATGAAAAATTTGAGCACAAAATTCAGTTTCTGATTAAAACTTTACCAAAGTTCATGTAGCCTCAAGCATCTTTCTCTGCAATGCAAAGCTATTCCTTCCTAGAGCAAGAAGACGTTGCACCTATGCTACTGTCAGTAACTTCAGCTATAATTTAATTTATAATATGAATGCATTAAAATGGTCAGTCAAAAACTGAGGAAGAATAATGGAATTATCATCAAATTTGGTCTTGATGTCATCTCTTTACCAAAATTTTGAGTACAGTCCCTAAGGACCAAAGGACTCTCTCCGAGACAGATAACTGGTGGTGGTTTAACCTGAGAGTCACCACGCCTCCAACAAGGTTGAGAAGGCGGGATCTTTGTGGTGTCCTCAGTCACTGTGGGAATTGAACCCTACACTGCAAACCAACCATTCAGCTAACTGACCCCCAAAACCTTTGAGTAAAAAATAATTGCAACTAAGAAAGTTTGTGCAGTTTTTCTTATCGCTGGTATCGACCTGCCAATTTAAATTAAAAAGCAAATTGATGGTCTTGGGTACTCAACAGGCATACCACATTTTTACAAAGAAAAAGACAAAAATGAATGCGTCCAGGGCACAACAATTAATATTAGGAAAATAGTCTTTTGTCGCACTCAACTAGAAGCTACTTTTTATTAGGAAATAAATGATGACCTCATGAGTTATATATTGTCTTACATATAACAATGTTTTAGAAGGTTGCTCAAAGAACTGGGTTGTGAGGAGGAGAGAGGTGGAGAGGTTTAAGAAGGGAATTCCTGACCTTGGAGACTAAGTAAATGAATGATGGCTGCCAATGGTGGAAAGATGAAACTTGGATATGGGCAAGAAGCCAGAGTGGAGGAGCACCGAGATCTTGGAGTGATAGGAAGGAACAAGATCGTAGAGCAGTATGAAAAACAGCATTACACTATCCATTCTAAGGACTTTAATTCTGGTTGTTGTAAGTGTGTCAATTAAATTACCTACTGAGATTTTATGCTTCAGGCAAACATACGCTAGTGCTTCAATGGTAATTTGGTTATAAAGCCAAAATCAGACAGCTAATAACTATTTCCTTTTTACATAATTTTCCTTTCTACATTTTTTTTCTGGGAAAAACTTATCTTCATATTCCTGAGAAGATTAAATGCTTTCTATAATCAATCCTTCATTTATGAATTTGATTTTAAATATTTAATTTAGAATTGCTTGTGGTGTAATTTAGTTCCATGTATAGTATAAGAATAGTACTAAAGGACAACATTTTTGACAAACTGCAATTCATTGATGTATAATTAACAAAACCACTGCCATTACGGCACTGACAACATTCAATATCCATTAACATTGGAATCTATGTTAAATGACTTGTTCCTGGAAACATGTTGTTTAATATTACTTGAGAAAACTCACAGATGCTTTGTTCTGTTACACCACTAATTGAAGCCAGCTGCTGCACAACCTTTTTTGTAAAATAAGAAACAAAATTAAGATCACTTTTTGTGACAACTTATTGCTTAATTTCTGTTAGGAAAACAGTTAAAATCCTTAAGAATAAAAGTGAATAATAAATTCACTAAAATATCAATGCAACCACTATTTACTACCTTGAACCATGGTGTGTAGTTCAGTATGAATGCACTTGTTCCAATGACCCCAACAGCTAGAAGCATGCAATCTTCCTTCACTGTCAAAAATTTTGCTCTATGGTAAAGTTAAACATTATTTAATGTTGTATTTTTCTTAAAACAAAGGGAACATATGAATGACTTGCATAAATTAAGGATGCAAACAATTGTTAGCTAGAGGGCTGCCTGCCATTCTAACTTGTTGACTGAGTATCTCTGATCTACAGTGGGTCAACAAGGTGTTTCACCATGGGAGTTAATGCAAAGCCTAATCATTTTTCTGTACTTATGGTCCAGGGTGTTTCAACAGAACTTGAGATTTTCTTTCACATTCCTGAAAAATAACTCATTAAGGAGATCATAACAGGAGTAATGCTGTGATGCAGATATGCTGGCAACTTCATGCAGAAGTCTTACATTTTTAAACTTTTCATTAAATAGCCCCAACCTTACCCTAGGATTATCTTTTGAGTATTCTCAAATCTCCCAAATATTTATCATAATTCTTAATATTTCCTTTTACCCGGTTTTGTACCTATGCCGTTTATTGTCACATCTTAACTGCCAACATTTACAACTATAGAATTAAAATGCTTATACTACCATGGTGCTACATCAGTACTGGAGAAAAATTAGTCACAAAGTCTAGAAGGTTTCTTTGTTTGGCGGCACCAGGGCAGCGGGGAGAAGGAAGGAAGGTTAAGAGTATCAGAATGACTCTAACTGAAGGGAAATCTGTTTTTGACCTGACATGACCTATGATTTATAGCAAAATCTGGATTGAATTAGCCCCTCTGTGTATGACTGCTTTTTGTTGCAAAGTTTAACTTGAAGCTACATTTTAATATAAGCTGCAACACATTTTGTAAACAGTGAGCCTCTGTTTACTTGCGTTTAGAAAGTAAAGAACCAAAATGCTTTAAAATAAAACTTGATTCCAATGTGACAAAGAAAAATACTTACCTTTGGAGTTCACTAGGTATAGCATTTTCAATAGCAATTTTTAGTAAGTTTTCATAGATGGTGTTTCTCATGAGGTAAACAAATTTAAGCACCTTTAGGGAAATACAGTGTAGATACTTAACTGGAACTGATGGATCATTGTACCCTTTCAAAAACAAAATCTTAAATTAGTTATTTTGGAAGTATCTTATACTGAAATCTAGTTGTTTAAACTGCACAGGAATGAAACTTAAAACAAAAACATGGATGCTGGAGAAATTAAGCAGGTGTAGCAGCAATTGTAGGGAGTCCAGTGATTCATCAAAACTGATAGCAGCTGGGAAAAGGTGCTAAATACGCTAAAGATAAGCTTAGGGAGTTGGGAGAAGAGGGTAGAGGTGAGTGGATAGGTGGAGATGGATCACAGAGAAAGAGATGAAAGGGGTAAAAAGCAGATGAGTGATTATTGATAGGCTTCCCAGGAGAGAAATTGAAGAAGTGATAATGAGACCTAAGGATAGGAGAGAATGGGTAGAATGTACTGAATGAAACCCATGTAATATTATAATAAAGGTTATTGAATTTTTATGTTGTCTTAGAGGCTGCATGGTCTCAAGTCAAAAATAAGATACTGTTCTTTGAGCTTGTTCTCAGCCTTGCTGGAATGCTGCACTACCCCCACAACAAAAATTTTGGCATGGGGGACATAGTGGTGTGTTGAAGTGGCAGGCACCTGGAAGCTTGGGATCATTTTACAGACAGAACATTGCTGTTCTGCAAAGTGATCACCCAGTCTGTGTTTCATCTCCCCATTGTGGAGGAGACCACACAGAATGGTGAATACAGTAGACTAGATTGAATGAAGTGCAGGTAAATCACTGCTTCACCTGGATACTAAGGAGTGAGGTAAACAAGCAGGCAGTACACCTTTTGCACTACATGGGAAGGTGGTGGGAATGGATGAGATGTGGACAAGGATGTCCCGAAGGGAACAGTCCCTATGGAATGTGGATAAAAGAATGGAGTGGAATATGTGCTGGTCCTGACTTCCCACTGGAGACGGAAATGGTGGCTTATAATCCTTTGGATGCAGAGGTTGGTGGGATGGTAAACGAAGACCAGGGGGACTCTATTCTTGTGTGAAGAAATGAGCAGGGGTGAAGGTAGAAGTGTAGGAGATAGGTCAGAAACAGCTAAGGGCCTTGTCAACCATAGTAGTGGGGAATCCTTGGTTGAGAATAAAGGGTGGACATTTCTGAGGACTTTCTGGAGAAGGTGGTGGCATCGGAGCAGTTGTGATGGAGAAACTGGGGCCGTGGCATGGAGTCCTTACAGGAAGCAGAGTGTGAGGATGTATCGTCCAGGTAACTTTGGGAGTTGGTGGGTTTGTAGTGGATATCAGTAGCCAGCCTATTCTCCAGAAATGGAAACAGAGGAAGGGAAGGGAAAAGTCAGAGATAGACCAGCTGAAGGTGAGAGCAGGCTGGAAATTGAAAGCGCAATATTAACATACCCCACAAAGAAACAGGCATAACTAGGGCCTATGCAGGTACCCATGGCCACACCTCTGTGACATACAATGCTCCTCAGACAGTTGTTCTCCTTGCATCCTGAGATCCGCAAGCGGTGCTTTGTGTATTTGGTGATGCATATTCTCAACCTCTCCCGCCACTGGTACCATCTCACGCTGTCTTGGCTGTCCTGCTGACCAACGCCAGTTCCACTTCATTCTCTAGCTTGTTTGACATTCTAACAAGAAACTTTCTCTTCCTTTCAGGCATTAAGGAACACAAGCTGAAAAACAAACTCAGCATACCCAGGGCCCTCCACAACCACCTTCCCCTTTAACTCCACCCTTTCTTCTAACTCCAACTCTTCGAGTACTTACTATCCCTTCTGACCTTCCACACTCTGCTGCATATTCTGTACTCAGCAAAAGTCTTAGTTTTATCCCTCTGTACACCCATCTCAATGAATTTCAGGCAGGACATGACTTTGAATTCTTCTTCTGTCATCTCTGCTTCCGAGCCAATTTCTTTGGATGTGTGTCTTCTTCCCCATCTCGCAGATGCCTTCACCTGCCTCTAACACTCCCTCCACCTGAAACCCACACCCCCCTCCAGCCTTTTGACTGAACTCGACTTGTTCATTTGAGAACTGTGCACGTTACATTAGTCACCCTTATTTGTCCCTCTAACGCATTCAAACATACCCTGTATCTCCCTCTGAATTGACGGCACTATGCTCTCACATCCAATCCTGATTTTTGTCATCAAGCATGGCGACAAGGATGGTGGTGTTGTTGATGTCTAGAGTTCAGGATGCTACATTGTGGAGACTAAGCACCAGCTCACAAACATTTCTTCCTCTTTCCCCCAGACTACAACCCCACCATTGAGCACCAGGCCAAAGAGTCACCATCCTCATCTTGGGATCTCCCCCCGACGGCCTCCAAGCTCACAGTCCCCTAATCTCTTATAATCCATTTCTACTTTCTGCCCAAAATCCACAAACAGGACTGTTCAGGCAGACCTATTGTTTCTGCCTGTTCCTGCCCCACAGAACATATTTCTTCTGACCTTGACTTAATTTTTTTGTCCCCTTGTTCAGCGCACACAACACCTGCCCCCCGCGCCCCCAACCCCATTCCCACAATTCTGCTGATGCTTTATGTTGCTCTCATTTTTTCCATTTTGTGGGCAGCAGCTGCCTCCTCTTTGCAGATGTGCAATCCCTTTACATATCCATTCTCCCATCAAGATGGTCTTGGGGTTCTCCACTTCTTCCATCCACCATCACCCTCTTCTGCCCAGGCAAGCTCATCCTCACTTTGAACAACAGCTCCTTTAACTCCTCTCACTTTCTTCAGATCAGAGGTCTGGCCACAAGTACCCGCATCGGTCCCAGTTTTGCCTGTCTCTTTGTGAGGTAATGGAACATTCCTTGTTCCAATCCTGATCAGGTTCCTCCTTACAATTCTTTCTCTGCTACATCAATGTCATGATCTGTACTGCTCTCCCCTGGTTCAGGACCGGAAAAATTTATCAATTCTACCTTCTATTTCCACCCTGCTTTCACCTTTGCCTGGTCCATCTCTGACTCCTGTTTCCATTTCTGGCAAAATTCATTTCAAAACCATCAACTCCCACAGTTCCCTCCACTGTACATCCTCAACAGCCTGCTTCCTACAAGGGCTCCAGCCCGTTCTCCCAGTTTCTCCATCTCCATTGCACCTGTTCTGATGATGTCACTTTTCACAAATGGGGCCTCAAATGTCCACCTTTCTCCTCAACTGAAGATTGTCCACTAACATGGTTGACAGGGTCTCTGGCAACGTTCGACCCATCTCTCATACTTTGGCCCTCGGCCCTTATCTTCCCTCCCAGAACAACGATGAGGTTCCCCCGGTCTTCACTTATCATCCCCACCAGCCTCTACATCCATAAGATTGTAAGCTGCCATTTCCGTCATCTTCAGCGGGATGCCAGGACCAGTCACATTCACCTCCTTTGTCAGCGTTCTTCAGGACCTTTCCCACCGGGTCATGCTAGTCAACACCTCCCTACACCCCTTCCTATTCAATTGCAGAAGGTGTTACACCTGCCTGATTACCTCCTTCCTCCTCACTAAGGTCCTAGACAGAGCTTCTTAATGTTGCAGTGATTTACTTGCACTTCATTCAATCTACTCTACTGTATTCGCTGTTCAGCATGGTCTCCTCTATATTGGGGAGATGAACTGCAGACTGGATGACCACCTTGCATGCCACCTATGTTCTGCCTGTAAAATGACCCCGAGCTTCTGCTACCTGCCACTTTTGCCACGTGTTATCCCACGCCAACATTTCTGCAGCAAAGCCGCTGCAGTTTTCCAGTGAGCCTCAGTACTAGCTTGAAGAACAGCATCTCATTTTTTGCTTGGAGACCCTGAGGCATCTAGGACTCAACATACAGTTCAATAATTTTAGAGCCTGTTTCAATCCTGTTTGTTGTTACCCACCCCCAGCATCCTCGTGCTACCATGACATCGGTTGCTTTTAACAGTCAACCTATTCTCTCTCACTCACTCTCAGACATGTTATCACATTTTTAAAAAAAATCTAAAGAACTGCAGATGCTGGAAATCAGAGACAAAAACACAACTTGCTGGAAAAGCTCAGCAGATCTGGCAGCATTTGTGGAGACTGAAATGTTAACTCTGATTCCTGCCCATAGATGCTGCCAGACCTGCTGAGCTTTTCTAGCAATTTCTGTTTTCGTTCCTGTTATCGTATTACATGAGTTGCTTTCAACATAGCCTACACATTCTCTCCTACTCTCATTATCACTTATTCAGCTTCTCCTGTCATGATCTACTTTCATATCTCTCTCTTCCTCTGGACTCCATCTCCATCTATCCACACACCTTTCCTCTTTCCCAACCCCTCCTTCAGCATAAATACCACTTTTTCTGGCTGCTATCAGTTCTGAAGAGTCAGTAGACTCAAAACATTAAATCTGCTTTATCCCCACAGATGCTGCCAGACCTGCTCAGTTTCTCCAGCAATTTCTGTTTTTGACGCAAGTTCAGTATTTGGTTACAATGCATTCAATTGTTAATTAGTGATTATATTCTTCTCACTCACCCATGACTTCTAATAGTATTTCAGTGTGAGTGAAAGGGGAAGGGACATTGACTTGAAAATTCAAAGTTTCAAGCACAAGTAGTTCTGAATCCAGAAGGTCTTCCTTCTTATACGAGTAACCAAGTGACTGGAGAAACTTCAGGGCCATGCTAATATTAACAATCTGGGAAAATAAATAAGGAAAGAAATGGATTGCATTTGTGGCTCCGGTCAAACATTAAGATGCAATTTTATTTTACGTAAATGCAGGAAAAGATCTGATGATGCAATACTTTACCTGGTAGTGGAATGAGATTTTGCTTGCTATTTGAACACACGACATGATCCGTAGTACAAAATGCTCTTGAATTCTATCCTGCAATTGTTCCCAATCAAGTTTTTCAGCATTTTTCTCAGATCCTGCACATGTAGATGAATACAGTTTTTCAATGTACTGTATCATAAACCTGTAAAATTAAATAAGTTATAGCTGATCTCATGATAAACCTTACTTTAAAATTAAAGGACTGTGAAATCAGACTTAATAATGACACATGCTGTTGTCTTCTCAGTATTTTTCACCAGTAACAATGACGATGCCAAGTAGGTGAAGCAGCCAATTGCATTGAAGTATTCTTAGTAACCCAGGAAGTATGATGTTTTGTCCTTCACTCGTAATCATTTTTTTAATGCAGTGATGCTTAAACATTGCACTGTATGTCATATATTATGATGCTAACTGCATCAAATAAAAATCCAATCAGTAAACTGTTTTATTCTTACAATTCTGGGAATGGTTCATTGAATAGGTGTTTTCCCAGCCCATGCTTCTATTTTAGTAAAACAACAGGCTCATTTTCCAAAACAAAATCATGACACATATCATAATCGTTTTACCTTTCCAATAGCTCCACAGCTTGATACCTTGTAACCTGATGAAGTCCCAGTTGCTCACAAAGAAGGAAAACAAATTCTGTGACATGGAATAAAATAAAAAGTAACAAGAAAGTTGCAAATTGATCAAGGTAAGTTAAGTGATTACACGTTTACAGTTGTTGATTTATGGGCTCCTGTGGCACAATGGTTGTGTCCCTATCTCTGGGCTGGAAGGCCCTGGTTCCAGTCCCACCTGCTTCAGAGGTGTGTCATAACACATCTGAACAAGTTGATTAAAAAATATCCACCATTACTGGCTTCAAACATAAGTACTCGCACACCTACCAATTAAGGTTGTCTTTTTGAAACAGCCAGCGTGCTGAGAGAGGTTCAGCAGGTTATTTTCATTCTCCTTGGCCACATCAACCAGAAACTCTTCCAACATCTCGGGGGGAACGGCGCTGAACGACAGCTCTGGAGTCTTTTTGCTGCAACCCTGGCTTTCCTCTGTGTTTACAGCCACCACTTTACTCATGGCCACACAACACCTCGGCCTTTCTCGAGCTAAGTGCCAGTGACTTCGTAAACGTTGCAAAGCCCAAGGAACGTAGCGACTTTGGGTTGTCACAAGACCTGGAACTGCCAAGACAGGTTTGTAAACAGAACACATTAAATATTTCCGAAACGACTGTCGATGTCTGGTTCCTGGGAAGGTGCTAGAATAAGACAAAGATGGCGTCTTCTTCCCTCTTCACGCGCGCCGAGCCGGCTTAACTCTACTCCGCCTGCGTGTCGTGCCTCCTTCAGTTTCGAGCCAAACCACCTGCGCCGTGTACCGGGACGTTATCCCCTTGTCGCGCTGAAAGACGCCTGCGCAGTGTGTTGGCTGCCGGCTTCTAACCTCGAGCTGCAGCCTCGTGGCGCAGCCGTTGGTTGTTCGAATTGGAGGCGGGAGCTCGAGCAAACGGGCAAAAAAACCCTACCTGTTGGGCTTTAGTAAGAGGAGGGAAAATGGGTGAACTTGAGGAAACAAACAAAAAAGCTTTCACGTATATAACCTCAGCATGTTTCGAAATGATTTACAGCCAATGAATTAAGTTTTGCATTAGCCTTTGCCGTGTAGCTATCACAAACTAAAATCCGTGTATCGCCAACGTATGTGAATGTGGTGAACCATGTGATAATGAGCGGATTTCTCTGTGATGTTGATCGAGGACTTTGTATTAGCTAAGACACTGGAGATAAATCTCTGCCCCACTTCAAAATGGTGATGCCACAGGATCTTCTGCGTCTACCTGAGCAATCTGATGGGACCTCAAAACGTTGTCTCATCTGTTGGCACCTCTGACAGTTAAGGACCCCCTCAGTACCTGGACCGCCATCCCCCAGTCAAGTCCTGGAGTGAAACTTATGAATTGGAGACAAGAGACCAACCAATTGGGCAGTGACCGGCACTTAGATGACAATAAGACAAAAGAGCTGAGGTAGATCATTCAATGAGATATTGAAGTACATGATAATGGTACAGTCACTATTTGTGATGCAAGAACTACAACAAACAATTTTGAAACAAGCAAGATCCTACCAACTCCATAGTGTGATGGTGGCCAAATAATTAGTACCTTTGCAATGTTGGTTTTGGCATTAGATGTGGACCAGCACACAAGGAGATCACCCCTTGCTCTTCTACAAAACATATGTGCGCCAGAATCTGACATTCTTCTCAGTATCAATATAGTTTCAAGCCAGTTGGTGAGATAATAAAGTTTACTCAAAAAGGTATCACTGTTTCTAACTACCTAGTACTGCAGCTCTTTTGACATTTATTTTATGCTAGCAAGGTCAATTCTCAACCTTTTCGCAGCAACACTGTCAAAAAGAAAACAGTCATCCACATAACATTCTATTGGCAACCTTTTTCTCAGATTGCCTTTGAATAAAATTTCCTTTTGAACATTGATAAACACATCCTGTCTCTATTGGATCTACTAGTGCCATTCAACAATTCAAGTATTTTTAACTACCTTTTTAATTTGTTGGCTTCCCAGACCAACAGACAACATTTATGATTCTTTCCCACCCAAGTATTTGATAAACTCTGTAGTAATCCAGTTTGACTGTTGATCCAAATCACTCCTGACATACTCCACTTAATGTCTAACCCTATATATTTAATGGACCGCAAGGTCTCACTTCCAATTTTAAATTCCCTTTCTATTTTATCACGTTACTGAAATTCCACACAACCTTTCTGACATACATCATAAGGATGTTTGCCAGTTTTTCCCTCTGATACCAGTACATCATTTCTGGGTTGCTCTAAGATGGTTTGTGCAATTGTGGTTAGAAGTGAATGACAAAAGTCATCAGCCTGACAAGAACTCTAGTTCCTGAACAAGTGAACAGCTTGTGGGTGTGAACAATATAGAGAGAACCCTTCGGACTGCTAAACCTGAAGACGGCTAGTTTTTTTTCTCAACAGTTGGTGTAAACTGTTACATTTAACAGGTAACTTTTGTAGGTAGTGTGCCAATCACCCTGTGCATCCTGCAAGGAAATGAAAGAACCTGGAGAAAGGAAGTTGAAAAGCAGAAAATCTTAGAGTGGAGGTGTAAATTGGACTTCCAGGCTAAACAATAGCCCATTCTGGCTCTGTGTGTGTTTATTGCACCCTGAGCTCCAGATTTTGTCCAGTATTTTAGATGTTGGAAAAGTCCAGTATTTTAGATGATGGAGATTTTTGCTCAATCCTATACCTCGTAATTATCCAACATATGTGTATGTGAAGTGCAAGGTGCCTCCTCACTTTTTAGAATATGTTCAGGTTCTGTAAGTTTGCAATCAGTGCCACTTAACTTCGAATCCAACCAGTTTGGTCACCGTGCTCTAAAATTACATGTTTTGCCATCACTATCAGGCAGTTAGGACTGGGCAATAATTGTGGCCAAGCCAGTGACACCCACATTTCATGAACAAATAAAAAAATCTATAAATTTATTACTTTCCACTCTTCCTGCCCTTTTCGAATATACTATGTCACCAGGTTAAAATTTATTTTTGATTGTCTTATATGATATCAGATAACTTGCTAAATTTTCTCTGAAACCTCAACCAAAATAAATGCCCTTCTTCCTGCATGCTGCACATTAATGCGCACAGAAAAAGTGGAACTAATCCCACCCCAAATCCTGCCCAGTGAAGCAGTTGAGGCTACTTCGTTGAATGTTTTTAAGGCAATGGCAGATAGATTTTTGAAAATAAAGGAATTAAGTGTTATGGCAAGCAGGTGGGTAAGTGGACCTGAGTCTACAAAAAGCTCAGCCATGATCTTATTGAATGGCAGAGCGGACTCGATGAGCCAAATGGCCTACCCCATTCCTATGTTCTAAACCAAGGGACAATTGCTTATTTGCAAAGGAATCAATGGATGTGTCCCAAAAAAAAAACAATTAATATAGATTCTAGTCCCCATATGAGTTCTTTACATGGACTGCCATTAATTACAAATTGGTTAATTTACAACATTGTTGTTCAGCTAGGATTTTGTGAAGCTTTCTCATCTATTACCATGTGATTCATTTTACAGAATTGTTACTGAAGGGACTTTCTGTTACCATGTTCATTCCAAAGTGTTCATAATTGTCCCTAAATTCATCATTGGCAAATTCTCCCCAGACAGGAATTTAGCTGATACTTTCAGTCTGGTCCTTATCCATTTCTCTATTAACTTGTATGTTTTTGTAGATTGATTAAATCTAGTTGCCATGCCTATGAAGTACAAAATGAGAATTTATTTTCCTTATCTCAGCATCTTCAAGTGCTTTGCTACACATTATTTCAAGTTTCTTGCTATTGGGAGATCAACTATAGGTCATGATGGTGTCCTATATTTTTTACATATGTTACATTTATTGGTGATCTCGTCTACAAATTTAGTGTACTCACCTTATTCATGCATCCTTTGGTAAGATTTTTAAGCTGTGAGATGATGGATGGCCAAACTGCTTGATGTAGTTTAAAGGTAATTAGCCTTTTTTTTTTACCTTTAAACTCCTATGTCTTTGTGCTAAAAGCACCTGCCTAATATTTTGCTGAGAGAAGTTAGGTTTTGTTAAATGTTTAAATATGTAAACTAAATCCACTGACTTAACAAAAACAGTTGCCTTATTCTGTTTCTTGATCAATTTCATTTCAGCCTTTTTCATAGACGGTCTGCTGAACAGTAAAGGTAGTTCACTTGATACTATGTCTGAGCAGGTAAAATGTTTAGCCTGGCCATTTTACAGGGAATGACCACTCTTTATAAAGATTTCAGCACGTTGTTATCCTCAATCCTTCTAAAGTAAGCAGAACTCTCGAATTTCTTTACTTTGATCCTTGTTACTTAAAGAATCTAGGTGCAATTTTTAACCAATCCATTTCACACACTAGATGTGCATCCACTGTCCAACACAATGCAGTTGAATCAGTCTGTGACTAAAACATTCATTATTACGTTGCTGCTTCTTCTAACAAGCACAATTCCCTCTGCCTGATTAGTATTACAGTCCTCTCCTTCTGAACCTTTCCACTTTCTGTAATTTTGCTCACCTTGTTCTTTCATTTAGAATAATTCGTTGTGTAATGGTATTTTGAGTCACATTTAAAATAGCTGTTGACCATATCCTGGGCATTCCTGGGGTCCTAGATGTTGGTATGTTCGCCGAGCTGGGAGGTTTGATAGCAGATATTTCATCCCCTTACTAGGTGACATCCTTAGTGCTGTGGAGTCTCCTGTGAAGCACTGTTGTCTTGTGCTGGTTCGAATTTATATGGTCTGGTTTTTGCTTCACTCAAACCCTGAATTCCTGGGGTCCATCCTTCAATTATAGTTCTCCGATTCCTGTTGTCTGCTGTGGGTATCTCTATTCTTCAATATGATGATTCTCCTTCCCTAAAGCAGTTTTTGTTTATATGTGAGGAGTCTTGCATTGCTGCTACCATTAGATTTTCCATTGTTAGTATTACTACTGAATGTCCTATTTAAGCCATGGAGGACCCTGAGAATGAACAGTTTTCCTAGAATTTAAAAAACTTCAGACAGCTGTTCCAAAAGTGTATTTCTTCCTGAAACCCTAACTCCAATTAATACTGGGAGTCTATCCATGTTCAACATCTTAGCTCAGATGCATAATTTAAAGGCAAGCACTGAATTAGAAGTGTCCAAGTACAACTTCTGAATATTGAATATAGTCTGTTAATTTCCGTTCTATATTCTTCTATGGGATATCCACCTCACTTATGAAACTTATCAAAGTTTGACCATACCTCATATAAACTTAATGGGTCATCTTTCTTTTACATTTTCATTCATTTTAACAGAATTTTCAAACCTTCCTCAGTGTACAATTGTTGAGCTGCTAGGTCTGAAAATAATTTACAGATCTTCTTTCTAGCAGGAAGCATTAGTGCCAAGGCAATAGTTTGCCTGTTCTGTGTAAGATGTGGCACATATCCACTTCATTTTTCTATAAATGTTAAGATAAAGCTTTACATATCATCAGTAGGAAACAAAATCCCAACATTTTGCACTTGTTTTCAACAATTCTTCCCCAAAATAACTCAAATTACAATCTTTTGTCTGAAAATAACTCTTAGGTTCCAATTTGACCTTTATACAACCATCCTTTCCTACCAATATCAATTTGGATCCAAGCCTGCCAGTGCAATTGGAAACAAGACGGGCTTTACTAACTGCTGAAAACTGTACAAGGCACCAGTCAGACCACAGCTGGAGTACTGTGAACAGTTTTGACCCATTATCTAAGGAAAGACATTGGTCAGAGCATTGAAGGCAGCATTGGAGGCAGTCCTGAGAAAGGTCACTAAATTGATTCCAGTTATGGAGGACAGTCATATGAGGAAAGACTGATTTGGTTGAGTCTCTACTCATTGGAGGTTAGAAGAATGAGAGGCAACCTTACTAAAAGATGCAACATTCTTAGGGGACTTGACAGGATAGATGCAGAAAGGTTGTTTCACTTTGTGGGAGTGTCTAGGAACAGAAAGCATAATCTTAGAATAAGGGCTCATCCTTTTAAGACAGAAATGAAGAGGAATTTATTCTGCCAGAGGGTAGTGAATCTTTGGAATTCTTTGCTGCAGAGTTCTATGAAGACTGGGTCATTAAGTAAATTCAAGGCTGAGGTGGACAGATATTTAATCAGGGAATCAAGGGTTATGAGAAAAAGGCAGGGAAGTGGTGTTAATTGTCAGTTCAGCCATGATCACACTAAATGGCAGTGTAGACTTGACTGGCTAAATGATCTATATCTGCTCCCATGTCTTACGTTCTACTGAGTCTTAAAGTTCCTTCCACCAACCAATCCCATTTGTTTGCCCTTTATATTATTCATTCACGAGTGTCACTTCCTAGGCCAGCATTTATTGCCCAATCCGCAACTGCTCAAAGGGCAATATTTACCCTTCAGTCAATTAATTAATCAGCCCCAATCATCAGCATAACTACTTTCTATTTTAAAACTGGAGAGGGAAGACTTAGCCCTTGGTTCAACATTTAATCCGAAAGATACTCTAGCAGTACGGCATTGAAACGTCAGCCTAAATTTTGCACTCAAATGGGAGTTGAATCCAAAACCTAACTACTTATTCTGTTGGTGAGAGTGCTGCCAGCATGAGCCACAGCTGACAGTTACAATGTAACTGATATGAAACCAAGCCCCAGGGTTTGTGCACTATCACAGGTTATACATGAGTTAGGAGTTGAATTTTTCAATAGTGTCCGCAATATTATCTGCAGAATTCACCAATATAAGCAGTGAACCAATAGAATTTAACAGAAATAAAGCTAAAACTGTCACTTGTATAATTATGAATGGCGGGATACTGTGATGCTAATGTGGTATCTCAAAGCTGGGAGAAAATATTTAATTATCAACACTTGCTTTTCTTGTTTTTACTCTTCCCCAAAAACCTTGGTATGGAAACAACATAGGTTCTCTGAGAGGGAGAAAATACTGCTTATATGGTTCATGATGTGAAGGATGCTGGTAATGGATGGCTTCTTTTGATCAATATGTTTGAGGTTCAAGACAATTGAAGGAATGGTTGAGAGGATTTATAGATAATATGTATTGAAGGTGATTAATTAAATTCTATATTTAAAGGTGGGTATTAAAAGGGAAATAGAGAAGAATAATATTTAACGGTTGCTTAACTTGTCCACCAAAATGATAAAAGTTTCAATCTTTGAGTGGAGTTTTTTTTAACTTTTGTACATATCAAAATATTGCTTTACATTTTCTTTACATCTTCTTTAAAGAAATCTTCTTTACATTTACTTTATCTGCTATCTCTTAGGGAGCTGTTAATGGAACAAGCCTCGAGGACAGCTGATTTGGGAAATAGACTAGTCAGATTGAATCTTCCTTCAGAACCGAGCGTTTAGCTGCACTATTGAAGTAACGTATGAGTTTTGTCAAGGTGCTGAACCAACCTGACATGTTATACAAAAAACAGTCCAGACAAAAGGTAATTGTCCTGAAAAGTTAAATCTATTTCTCTCTCCTTGGTGCTGCCTAATTTACTTCCAACATTTTTGTTTTAAATTGAAATGGCTGATTTATTAATGAGTTAAACCTTTGAGTACAGGGTATATTTTCATAATTTGTGGAATGTACTAAACTTAGAATTACTGTAAATTGTGAGGAGAATAATGCATAATTTCAAAAGGACATAGACAGGTTGGTGGTGTTAGTGGATAGGTGATAGAAGAGATTCAGTGATGTGAAGTGTGAATTGATGAATGGTAGAAAGAACATGGAGAAATAATATGAAGGGTACAGCTCGAAAGGGAGTGCAGGAGTAGAGGGACCTAGGTGTATGTGTACATATGTTAAAGGTGACAAGCCAGTTTCAGACAGAAGTTAATAAAACATTCAGTATCATAGGCTGTATTAATAGCAGCATAATGTACAAGAGAAATAATGAACTTATGAAAGACACCAGTTTGACCTTTGCTGCAGCATTGGGTCCAGTACTGGATGCCACACTTCAAGAAGGATACAAAGACATTGAAAAGAATGCAGAAGAGTTTGAGAATGGTTCAATGTATGAGGAATTTCAGTTATGAATTCAAATCAGAGAAATTGGGACATGTCTCCTTGAAGAGAAGGCTAAAATGAAATCAGATGGAAGCATTCAAAATCATGAGATATGGACAGAGTAAATAGGGAGAAAATGTTCCCACTTCTGAAAAGACCAAGAAAAAGAGGGCACTGATTGAAAGCAACAAAGCAAAAGTGATACCTAAAAGTGATTCATGTAGTGAAGGTTTTGTGTCTGGAATGGGCTCCCTGAGTATGTGAAGGCAGGTTCAGTCAGGCATTCAAAAGGGAATTAGATGGTTATTTGAAAAGGAATAATATGCAGCGTTACAGGATGAAGGCAGGGGAATAGCACGATGTGAGATGCTCACTTGAAGAGCTGGCACACAGTGGGCCAAATTGCTTCTTTTTGCACCGTAACAACTTGGATGATCTGTAATGGTAAATGGTGTTTCATAAAGGGTAGTGAGGAATGGGTTTTATACACAGATGGCTCGACTGCTCGTTCTTTATTTACTGCTTCTAAACTCAACTCTGCATTGTATCAGCATTGAACAATGTCATTCCTGAACTATACTAGTTTGTTGTTTGGTCCTTTAGTGCCACCAAGTGGTTAAAGGTCAGAGGAAGTTCTGTGGCCTCTTAATATAACTTACTCAACAGCATGGTACCTTTAATATTTCAAAGTGTATCATAGATGCATAATGCATAACCCTACAAAAAGACAGAAGCAGTGTGAAGGAGGTATAAGGAGGAACACTGAAAGTTTGATCAAAGGGATGTGTTTTAAGGAAAGTCTTAAAAGAGGAGAGATTGGAAGGAAAAACAGTTTAGTGTTTGCATCACATCCATGATATTAAAAATCATTCGTTAATCTTAATGATTGTCCCTCGGTAATTCTGCAGCACAGATATATGTTGAAAATGCTTCTCTTCATTTGGCTCATTTCAACATTCATTTACTGACCAGCATATTTTGTCAGTAATAAATTCAAGGCTGAATTTGGGCATCATATCCAATTCCCCACCTTATCAAGTCACGTCCACCCGCCACCTCAAGGCGCCCTGACCGACATTGTCTCCCAGTCAGGCAATGTTTCTTTAGATTTAACTCTCATCCTTGTTTTTGAATCTCCATTGCTATGCTCCTAACTCTGTAACCGCCTACAGTCCTGCAAATGTCTGAGAGATTTCTGCACTCTCCAATTCTTTACCTTAAGGATCCATGACAGCTGATCCACACCACTGACAACTCCATTTCGTTGACTTGATCCTAAGCCCTGGAATACCTTTCCCAAACTTGACCTCTTTTTCTAAAAAGAACTTCGGTCAAGCATTTTGTTTTACAAATGTGGTTTAAGTATATGTAAAATAATTAGCGTTGGTGATATTTAATTCAAGTTATTGAAATAAGGTAACTTAACTTTCCATATCTGGTCTTGTTTCGTACCTGAATATGTTTTCTCCGTTATCTGATCATTTGAAGCTAGCAAGTAGATCAAATCGCGTTGCTGTTTTGATTTGCCCTCTTCAGCGTTCCGTATTTGACCTTCCGCAAGCAATTCTCGTTGGTGATTTGACAAAATGGCGGAAATGAATTCTCGAGGAGGTTCGGAGTTTGCTAAACGAGTCGACCCGAAAAGGGACAATTTGACCAAGGAACAGATTGAGTTCATGCAGAAAGTCGAGCTGGCTCAATGGCATAAAAACATGCAGAAAAGGCGCGGAAGGAATGTAATTACAGGTTTAGCTATCGGGGCAATCGTGTTGGGCATCTGTATCCTTCTTGCGTATTGAATGGTTTGTTGGAGGTAAAAGTATGTCTTGAGCTTGGGCATTAATCATAGGTACATTTGCTTTGCTGTTAACTAACAGGCTGATTTGTGCGATTAAATCAAGTCAAATTGTATGGTGGATCGCTTCTACGGCAGTTTCGTGCCACCATACCTATCCACACATTAGCAGAATGTACATAAAGTTTTCATATTTAAATAAGAGCCCGATTAGGCCTTTCAGACCCTGGGGCTTGTACCATTTTCGATGTGAATCATGATTGATCTGTTCGAATTCGATCCACTCATTTTGCTTAATTCCCTAAACTAATAAATAGCAATCTATCGATCTCAGATTTAAAAATACTATTTGAGCTAGCATTTGTCACCTCCTTGGGAAAGGGTTCCACACTTCTGGCACCCTTTGCGTGACAGTCCTTCCTAACTTCACTGAAATTCAGAATCTTCGCATTCACCCAGTGCGACACAGGATGTAATATATGTGATATAAGTAAGGATGTTGGTAAAATTGATAGCCGCTGGGAGAATAGGAGCTGTGCATGATGGTGGGCTTCATGTGAACAGTGCTGGAACTCTTTGCGAACAGAATAAGAAATACTACTGTGAGAGAAATGTTTAAACTAATGTGGCAGGGAAGAGGAAATAAAAAAAAAAGTAGGAAGAAAAGAAAATACGTACTTGCAAAGAGGATGGAAAAGGGTGAGAGGGAGGAGGCTTAGCAAAAAACCCTCAAAGAACTGCAAGTGCTGGAAATCTGAAACAAAAACAGAAATTGTTGGAGAAACTCAGCAGGTTCGGCAGTGAAAGACCTCTGAACCCAAAACTCTAACTCTGTTTTCTCTCTATGGGTGATGCTGAATCTGTGGAGTTTCTCCAGCAATTTCTAAGATTGTTTGACAGATGGGAGTTTGAATTCTGCTATATTAGTGCACAACATGACAGAATTGATGGTGTTCCCACAATGCACCCAGACAATGCAGACTTTCTAGTTTAATTTATTTTTAATACTTGGAAGGTGATCATGCTGGATCCTCCCCTGGATAATTAGATGGGACAGGAAGGTAGTTGGGTAAGTGGACATTTAGGATATATCCAAAAATTAAAGGATAAAACTAGTCCAAGCATAAGAATGTATATGTGTTCAAACAAATGAATTAGGAGCAGTAGATGCACAGAGGGTAATGCATATATGAAATGAACTGTGAGAGGAAGTGGTAGAGGTGAGGGTACGATTACAACATTTGAAAGATATTTGGACAGATACATGGGTAGGAAAGGTTTAGAGGGATATGGGCCAGATTCAGGAAAATGGGTCTAGTTCAGTTTAGGAAACCTGATCAGCATGGCCAAGTTAGGCCGAAGAGTCTAATTCTGTTATGTGTGACTATGACTCGAGACCATTTAGTCCCTTTGAGACCATATGATATAGGAGCAGAATTAGATCATTTGACCCATTGAGTCTGCTCCATTCGATAATGGATAATGTGTTTTTCAACTCCATTCTCCTGCTTCTCCCTGTATCCCTTGATCACCTTACTAATCAAGAATCTAACCAACTCTGTCTTAAATTTGCTTAAAGACTTGGCCTCCACAGCCCTCTGCAGCAATGAGTTCCATAGATCAACCACCCTCTGGCTGCAGAAATTCCTCCTCCTCTCAGTATCTCAGTTCTAAAGGGTCGTCCCTTCACTCTTACGCTGTTCTTTCGGGCCCTATTCTCTCCTACCAATGGAAACATATTTTCTAAGTCCACTCAATCCAGGTGTCTCAGTATTTTGTAAATTTCAATCAGATTCCACCCCCCTCAATCCTTCTAAACTCCATTGAGTACAGACCCAGAATCCTCAGCCGCTCCTCATATGACAAACACTTTACCCCAGGGATTATTCTTGTGGACCTCCTCTGGACCCCCTCCAGGGTCAGCACATTCTTCCTTAGATGTGGTGCCTAAAACTGCTCTCAATATTCCAAATGCAATATGACCGGAGCCTTGTCCAGCCTCAGCAGTACATCTCTGCTCTTGTATACTAGCCCTCTTGAAATTATTGCTAACGTTGCATTTGCCTTCCTAACTGCAAATTGAACCTGCATGTAAGCCTTAAGAGAATCCTGAACTAGGGCTCCTAAATCCCTTTGTACTTCAGATTTCTGAAGCCTTTCACTGTTCAGAAAATAGTCTATGCGTCTATTCTTCCTACCAAAGTGCAAAACATCATACTTTACCATGTTGTATTCCATTTGCCACTTTTTTGCCCACTTGCCTAGTATTTGCATCTCCTTCTGCAGCTTCCCTGTTTCCTCAACACTACATGACTCTCTACCTATCTTTGAGTCATCTGCAAACTTCGCAACAATGTCCTCAGTTCCTTCATCCAGATTGTTAATGTATACAGTGAATAGTTGTGGTACCAACACTGATCCCTACGGAACTCCACTATTCACTGTCTGCCATCCTGAAAAGACCCCTTTATCCTCACTCTTTACCTTTTACCAGTCATCCAGTTGACTATTCATGCCAGTACCAGTTCCTTGCCCCTAACACCCCTGGCTGTTTTCTTATTTCACAGCCTCCCATCTGGCACCTTGTTAAAGGACGTCTGAAAATCCAAATATATTGTGTTCACTGGCTCTCCTCTGTCTAACTTACTTGTTACCTCCTCAAAGAATTCTAACAGATTTGTTAGGCATGACATCCCCTTGACGAAGCTGTGCTGACTCCACTTTATCTTTCCCTTCTTATTACTCCGCAATCTCTTCTTTAATAATGGACTAAAATCTTACCAATGACCGAGGTCAGGTTAACCAGCCTGTGGTTTCCTGTCTTCTTAAACGGGTATGTTACATTAGCCATTTACCGGTTCTCTGGGACTCTCCCTGACTCCAGTGATTCCTGAAAGATCACCACCAATGCTTCTACAGTCTCCTCAGCTATCTCCCTCAGAATTATGGGGTGTAGCCCATCTGGTCCAGGTGGTTTTCCGCCTTTCGACCTTTCAGCTTCCCCAGCACTTTCTTGTAAGTGATGGTCACCACACTCACCTCTTTAAGTTCTGGTACCTTGCTGGTATCATCACTGTGAAAACTGATATAAGGTACCTCTTCATTTCCATTTCTTTCTGCCCTATTACTACTTCTCCAGTCTCATTTTCCAACAGTCTAGTGTGCACCTTTTAGATTCCTAAAAAAAAAACTCTTGCAGTCTTCTTTTATTTTAATAGCTAGCTTGCTCTCACACTTCTTTTCTGTCTTTTCTTTCTTTTGTTTGCTGTCAAATGGAACAGCAGTGCTAAGGTTAATTATTAAATTATTTAGTATGAGAATACCTGAGACACATTTGACTTCTGTTATGCTAATGGTAAGAGCTTATTATTTCTTATTTCATAAATTGAATTACACCAACAAAGCTTTAGATTTTGAATGGATTCAAACAAGTATTTGTATATTTCCTTCATAATCTCCCTAGATGGATACACATTTTATTCGGTATCACAGGAACGTTTTTTGGATGATTTGGAAGAAGAAGCAAAAGGTGTTCGAGCAAGAAGTAATTCTAAGACTTCAGTAAACTGAAACACTTAGTTTGCGTAGTTTGTGTATTTCTGATTTATGACTGGTTAAATTGAACAACTATGCAACTATTATATATTAGCGGAAATTAAACATGGTGGATCAAGATGTACGTTTTTCAGAGTGCACAGAGGTTTTTATTTTCTGTCTCTGTCTTTGACTGCCTTTATCCAGAAGTGATCTTGTGTTAGTCTAAACAAAGATACAACTTATTAAATCTATGACTTCTGAGACTTGTATATGGCAAAATTAAATGTATACATTTGCTGCTGTAATAAACTTTGATTATAATTATCTTTCCTATCCCATTGACAGTTTGAAAAGTATAAAAGTTATGATTCATATTATGAAAAGTTATGTCATGTCCTACTAATTCCATAGCAATGAAATTGAAGTCCACACTGTGTAAAAACTTTTCATAGAATTGAAAAATTTAACATGAATGAGGTGATAATGTTAAGCTCCTTGTCATTAACAAGTTATTGATACCCATACAGGTATTTAAATGGAAGAAGCAAAAACCTGCTCATGTTCTCAAAAGCTATGACTACAGGAACATTTTTTGCTTTTGTGGCAGGATGCCCAAATCAATTTAGTGATTCCATCTTTTCCAGTTCTACAGTAGTGTTCTCTTTAAGATTTTCTTGTTGCCACCGATTAGCTTTTTCCTCCCACTGTACAGCTCCTGAATTGTTTACGGAGCAGCTATATATGCATAGTACTTAACATGGAACTGAACTTATTAACCTTCCAGGATGCTATTAAGCTTAACATGAGTACAGCTCTACAGCGTTATTTTCATTATCATGTTTTTAAAATTCTTGTGTGGGATGTGGGCATTGCTGGCAAGGCCAACATTTTTTGCCCGTCTCTAATTATTTTTATTGACTCATGGAATGTGAGTGTCCTTGGTTGGACCAGCATTCATTGCCCATTACTAGTTTCCCTTGAGGAGGTGGTGGTGACCTGCCTTCTTGAACCGCTGCCATCTATTTGGCGTAGGTACGTGCACAATGCCCAGGCATATCCACCCAGGGAGGGAGTTCCAGGATTTTGACCCAGTAACATTGAAGGAATGGTGATATATTTCCAAGTCTAGATTGAGAGTGGTTTGGAGTGGAACTTTCAGGTGGTGATGTTCCCATGTATCTGCTGCCCTTGCCCTTCTAGATGGTAGTGCTCATGGGTTTGGAAGGTGCTATCTAAAAAGCCTTGGTGAATTTCTGCTGCACATCATGCAGAAGGAGCACACTGCTGCTACTGAATGTCAGTGGTGGAGGGCATGAATATTTGTGGATGTGGTGCCAATCAAGTAAGCGCTTTGTCCTGAATCGTGTCAAACTTCTTGAGTGTTGTTGGAGCTGCATTCATCCAGGCAAATGGGAAGTATTCCATCACGCTTAAGACTTGTGACTTATAGATGGTAGACAGGCTTTGGAGAGTCAGGTGCTGAGTTGGTTGCTGCAAGATTCCTAACCTCTGAGCTGCTCTTGTAGCCACAGTACTTCTCTGACAAGTCCAGTTCAGTTTCTGGTCAATGGCAAACACACAGGCTGTTGATAGTGATGGAATTCAGTAATGGTGATGCCATTAAATGTGATGAGGTAATGATTACCTTCTCTCTTGTTGGAAATGGTCATTGCCTGGCACTTGTTTGGTACATGTTACAACTTGTCAGCCCAAGTCTGGATATTGTGGACTGCTTCAGTATCTGAGGAATTGTGAATGGTGCAGAACATTGTGCAGTCATCAACCAACATCCCCACTTCTGATTCTATGATGGAGGGAAGGTCAATGATGAAGCAACTGAAGATGGTTGGGCCAAGGAGACTACCTCGAAGAACTCCTGCAAATATGTCCTGTAGCTGAACTGACTGACATCCAACAACCATAACCATCTTCCTTTGTGCCATGTGTAACTCAACCAACAGAGAAGTTTCCCACCCTGATTCCCATTGTCTCCCCATTTGCTAGAGAGCCACACTCAGTCAAATGTGTGACAAAAACAGATGTTGCTAGAGAAACTCAGCAGCATCTGTGAAGAGAAAGCAGGGTTAATGTTTCACGACCAGTGACCCTTCTTCAGAACTGATGGCAGCTAGGAAAAAGGTGGTATCTACGCTGAACACTGGGTGGGAAGGAAAAGTAGTGAGGGGAAAGGCAGAGATGGAGCGCAGAGACAGACAGAACAACAGTTAGGGAGATAAATGGATTGATAATAGTGTGCTCAGGAGAAAGAAAACCTGATAATGGGGACCATTAGTAAGTGAAAATGGGTTGGCTGTGCTTAAAGCAGCTCAAGTCATGACAGGCTGGGGTGTGGGGGTGGGTAAAAGGACATAGAAGAGGGTGTACAGGTTCTGAAATTATTGAACTCGATACTGAGCCCTAAGGGCTGCAGGGTTCCCAGACAGAAAATGAGATGCTGTTCTTCCAGCTTCCAGGTGAAATAACAACAACAATTTGCCTGTATTTCATTCAATCTAGTATACTGTATTTGCTGCTCACAACATGGTCTCCTCCACACTGAGTAGACGAAACACAGGCTTTATGGAACATCTATGTTCTGTCAGCACAAATGACCCAGACCTTCCAGTTGCCTGCTGCTTTACACACCACCGTATTCCCTGGCCAACATTTGTGTCTTGGGCCTGCTGCAGCGCACAGCTTGATTATGTACAGTAGAATAAGATCCTAGAGGATTGTATGGCTAGATGAGGTTACAGAGATAGGAAGACGTGAGACCCTGGAGCGATTTGAAATCAAGGCTGGGAACTGTAGTAAAGAACAGCAACGATACAACAGCAACAAGCCTTTTGTCTTTGTCTCTGCTTTAAAAGAATTATTGTGCTCTTGCCTCAAATGGCCAATTTACTCCTCTTTTCCCTCCCTAACACGGAAAAAGAACTGCAATCTAATAACTTTTCTAGAGGCCAGCTCATCAAGATCATTGCCACACCGATGTTGAAATTACACGGTATTTTCTGTTAAAAGTTTGGGACGTGATGAACAATTCTCAAATTTTACAATTGCTGAATAAACTTGAGAAATGTTAATGTTGCATGTTGGTGTTGAACATGTCCTTCATTGATGAACACAGTTGTATAGTATCTGGATTTGAACGACTCAATTGTATTATTCTGTGAAATATTATGGTAAGTTAAAATTAAAACCCAATTTTTATAAAGTATTGTATTCAAGAAAATAATTACGTTGTTTTACATTAGTAAATCAGGAACTATATTTCGTAGCCTTCCGTATGTGTGAACAGATTCTGATACAGCACTGTTTGCCAGTGTTGATGGACAGAAAAGATATATCACTATTGAAAGATCATGTGATTCTAGTTTCCTGCCCAACACCCATCTGCCATACAGCATTGAAACTACATTTATATCGCTTCTTTAACATAATGCCCAAAGAGCTTCGCAAGGATACTATCGCAAGATCAAATTGTTAATCTCATTCTAATTTATGGGAGCTATGCTTATATGCAAATCAGCTACTGTGTAACCACACTGACTACACTTCAACAGCAGTGGACTGATAATGAATAAAAATTTTAAATGGGGAGCGTGACACAACATAAAACAAGAAAAGTTCCAGAGGTGGCTGGACTGAGGAAAACTGGGAGTTTGCCTTCATTAGTCAGAACATTGAGTATAGGAGTCATGTGAGATATTATGTTCCAGCTGTACAGGACATTGGTGAGGCCACTTGGAATACTGCATACAGCTGTGGTCACCCTTCTTTTGGGAGGATGTTGTTAAACTGGAGAGGGTGCAGAAAAGACTTACAGTGATGTTGCCAGGACTGGAGGGTTTGAGTTATAGGGAGAGGCTGAATAGGTTGGGGCTTTTTTCCCTGAGCATTGAACGGTGAGGGGTGACCATACAGAGATTCATCAAATCATGAGGACATGGATAGGGTGAATAGTCAAAGTCTTTTTCCTACAGTGGGGGGAGTCCAAAACTAAGAGGCATAGGTTTAAGGCAAGAGGGGAAAGATTTAAAAGGGACGTGTGGGGCAACTTTTTCATGCAGAGGGTGGTGCATGTATGGAATGAGCTGCCAGAGGAAGTGGAGACTGGTGCAATTACAACATGTAAAAGACATCTGGATGGGTATATGAATTTGTGGGGGTTTAGAGGGTTATAGGCCAAATGCTGGCAAATGGGGCTAGGTCAGATTGGGACGTCTGATCAGTGCAAACAAGTTAGGGTCTGTTTCTGTGCTGTATGATTTATGACTTTTATAGATTTAATGCAATGTTATTTACATCTTCAGCCATTGTAAAAATTGTACATTGTTGTTAATGTAGCTTTAAAGTTATATTTCTCAACTAATACATTAATTTAGATGGGCTTTTTTGTCTCAAACTGAAAAATTGAACAGTTTTAGTTTAGTTTGAGAAGCTCCTGTGAGCTTAATTTAAACTGTGAGGCAAGATATCGAACAAAAATGGCAGAAACATAACCATTTGATTCACTCATTTAATAATTATACCTGCAATAGATTGTTAGAACATAATAAAATCTCAGAAATGGTAGTGAAGAAATCTCTTTCCATTAACAATACCATACAAAAGTTTATAAAGAATGCATTTATGATTTTGATACACCCTGTATTCCAACAAAATTTCCACCTCTAATGTTCCTCACAAACAAGTACCCCCTCCAAACACACAGGCAGTTCCATGATTCCTCTAATCTATATAATTTTATTTCCCAACCTACCATTTTTACAGATTGATTGTTGTAATATAGTAGGTAGATAGGAGAATTGAGGTGGTAAGGCCTGAAGCTAATTTTATTAAAATAGCTTATCAACTAAAGTTGGAAATATTTTGTAGAAACTAACAAATTTAAAGCTACGCTAAGAAAGTGGACTTCTTTCCATCAGCAACCTGCAGGGAGTTTTTTTTTGCTGTCGTTCTTAATTGCTAGACATCTTAATTGTCCTGGTCCTTTCACTTTAGGCCTAGTATAAACCTGTGTGTTTGAAACCTTGGGTTAATATTTTATTTTAAGTGACTTTCCTATATTTACGATGGTAAAATGAAGTTGAAACAAAACAAGCTGTCACTCAACTTTGAGGCCAAATGGCCAGTATTGCAGATTATCATCAAGTTTAATATCTTGTAAGTTTATTGAAGTGCACACTACAATCCCCAAAAAATTACTCAGTAATTTTATAAAACTTCATCTCCGTAAGGTTTAAACATTCGTAATCAATAAATTGAACCACAAGGATTTAGTAGCTTTCATTATTTTTGTAATTCTGAGATGTACATTGAATTCCAAAGCTTTGATATTAGACACTATTAAATATTTTGTAAAATATCTTAGATACAATAATGCGTTGGGATTTGATGAGCATGTAGTTGTGCAAGTAGAAGGAAATATTTAAGCTTTTAAGTTATTTACAATAGAGCTCAAAAACTTTCCAAATGAGCAAGTTGCTTCTATAGTTTTAAAATTTGAAATCTCCTCATTGCAATCATTATACAGTTTGCTGCTTCAACACAGTTTTTACATATGTACATACAGTGAATAAAGTCAGTTTTTACAATGTCACAGTGGAAGAGTATACTTTAATATAAAAATATGTAAATGATTTATATTGGTTGCTTAGCACCTAGGATTCAACTTGAAGTTGTCTTTACATTGTAGGATTAACAAAAACTTTAAAAAGACAACAATTCTTATCTATTCTTGGTCTGTCAGCAGAAACAGAAAAATAGATTTTTGTTAACAGAATCTGATTAAAACAGACCATATTTGAAGCATTTCAGGCCAGATAATATTATCTGCTTAAAACTGTGATGTGCTTTCTTGTGTTCCCAGAAACTAGTATCTAGAAGAAAAAAATAAGTGCAGTGCATATTGTGATGTGATGGTAATAAAAGGGGTTTCGTTCTGTGCCACAACAAATTCATGGCGAGGGTCATCCGAAATATTTCTGAACATCCAGCTGAAGGCATAGGTTTATATAAAAACTAAGATTTTTTTATATGAAAACAGACAATAGTGTGCATCATATTAGATTCCAAGCGAAACAGGAACCGTTCGTTAGGGTCCATTGATGGGTGATATTTGTAGGCAGAATATTCAAAGCATAGCAGTGACAGATCTTTATTCCAATTGGAGCGTGATGCATTTCTCAATTCATTGATCAATTTCATATAGACCTATTTTGCAGAAGCTTAGTTTTTGATGATTGATAGTTTCAATTTAAATGCCATTAGGAAAAGTAACCTCCACTAACAGTGGATGGTGTTTGGCGTTGATCCTGTGAGCTGCAACTACCCGTTAAGGAATTTCTTCTACTGAATCCTGCAAATATTCAACATAGACATTGCTATAATATTTAAAGGCTATTCTAATGATAAACATGCAATGTTTCAATCTCAAACGTTTCTTTGCATGTGAATTCAACAGCATTATACCAAAACTAAAAACAAATTCCATTTAATTAGACAATAAATGAGAATGCACAATTATTTTTCTTTTCAAAGCAAATGACTGAATATTTTGTATTAAACTGAGGCTTAAAACATAGCACTGTTACAATAGCCCATACCTCCTTTCTTGCTGATGTTAATTAAAAAAGTTTATATCACTTATAGTGAAGAGTTCATAAGATTTCTGAACTCTTAAAATTTTTATGACATGTTCCCACTGTGTTTGTATTTTCCTATTACTTACACTGTGTGTCTGTTGATAATGTTTGGATGAAGGGCTGTTGTAGATAGAATGTATCTGCACGGGCCAGGCTTGATCACATTTTCATGTATATTGTAATTATTCATACATATGTCTCTGTCACGTGATTGAAGTATTTACCTCAAGGAAGGAAAATAGGCACCCTGGTACATCAATTTAAACTGAACCTTGTGGATGGATTGTAGACCACACTGACTAAAGATCTGCTATCTAAGACAATCAGAATGACAAAGGAGGATTTCTGTAATATGTTAATATTTACTATGTATTTAACAATATTTAAATTATAGCAGGAACATTTAATGGTAATTTGACTTTTCACAAATTTCCATGGTTGAGTTAAATATTGAAACTGTGTAATGATCTGGAACATTACATTGATGTCAAGAAGCTCTTCATATAGTCACCAAAACATGGTAGTGGCTACAGTGATAAAGGCCAAATTTTTATATCACTTAAAACAATTAGATATTGCAACAGAGCTGGAGATCTAGGATCTTCATCTGAGAATTTAGATCAGTTAAATGTTTGAAACGCTATCCCATCCTTCACTTCAACTAAAACTCTGCTGTTAAACTGCGTCAAGTTCTAACCATCCATAATTCTAGAGTTTACCTTGATTCCCAAACTCTAAACACTTCAAATTTATAATTGTCATTCTCTTTAAATGGCCATGTGGCTCCATAACTCTGTAACCTGCTTTAATTCCTGCAATTGCACCTGATCCACAAACCCTGTTGTTATTTTCTGTACCTCTAAATCTAGCCTATTGGAATTCCCTTTGCTCTTTTGCTTTATCTCACCATTGATGGAAGTGCATTCTACCACTTTGGCTTCCTGATATAGTATTCCCAGTCTACACCTCTCTCACACTCCACCTTTAAAACTCCCCATAAATACATCTGTTTGATTAAGCTTCTGGTCAACCTTCCTGATAGAAATACACGTAAAAGTAGATGCTAAGCTATCAAGCATCTTGAAACATTTTCTAATATTGATGGGAATTTAAAGCATTGTTAAATGCCTTTTGTAATCCATGTGTCATGTGATCTTGTAAATGTGCTTGATATTATCAATGCATGATGATTAAACATTTTTGTACTTTAAGCTGACTGAATGAAGTTACCTTGTAAACACAATTCCATGTAAATGACAAAGAAAAGTAAATCTTCTAGTCCTAAAGTGCAGTTAATAATTTTAGGCTATTATAGATACCTGCTTGCTGTAAAGTCTCAAGTCGTTGCAGGCTGTTGCGGCGGGATTGGTTAAAATTGCCTTTAGATAAACGTCTTTGCCTTCCAGTCAAGATTGCAGCAGGTGATACTATTCCAGCAGGA